AATCGGCATCGTCTCTATCCTCAACCTGGGGAATGAGTTGACCTGGCAAGGTTAAGAACCAGAACTATCAAACAACTAATACCAACAACAGAGCATACTCATTGACTTACATCAGAATCAACTGCATCCTTAGATTCCTGATGAAAAGGCTAAAAAGCTCACAATTAAGTTAGAAACGATATGGAACCATAGCCTCAGTTACGGATTACAGAAAAGACATACTTGAAAATAGCAGGAGTAATGGACAGCATTTACAGGACTAATAATTGGCTTTTGAAAAAGCAACTTTGCAATTTCTGAATTCATCAAAAGTTTTCTCATTTGGCTATAATATCAACGATGCAAGCAAACATGTAGTCACAAATCATGGTCAAGCAAGTACCTCCTCTTCTTTTTTCTTCTCTGCCTCTTCAAATGCTGCCTTCTTAGCGTACAAAATCCAATAGCGTCAGTCAAATACGACGACGATTATATCAAGGTCAAAATACAGATGAGAAGATGTACATTCATCTTTGTTCTTCGCCCATGTTTCTTCAGCAAACTTCTTGGCATACTCAGGATGATCGCAAACCAAGACGTTGACATCCACTCAGCCTTTTTCATTTTTTTTCTCCTAATTGATCGCAAACCAAGATGTACATGTATCTTTTTTCTTACTTATAAAAATAAAGAGAGTAAATATATTTTTTATGAGCAAAGCAGATATACAATCTAAAAGAAAATATACAATCAAAAGTCGATGCATGTATGTTCTTGCTTTTCTTTCTTAATTTGATAAAGTACATTTTTAATTATTGTACTATAAGTTTTAGGATAAAGATATACACACACTCTAACGTTACACATTTTATTACACCCTAACTATCTCCGTTATGCAAACTGACGGTGTTTGTTACCAAGACTTTTTTTCTCTCCTCTTATTTCTTTGGTGAGAACCCGAGTTGGGTTCTCTGAGAACCCAAGTTTTAACTACCAACAATCTGTTGATCCGAGTAGAAGGAACTCGGTTCCCCTTAAGTAAGATCTCGAGCCGAATTCGAGTTTTGTGAATGGAAAAAACAGGTGTTAGGAGAGCTTCCCCTTATGGGGTCCGATCCGGCTCGATTCCGGATTAATTAGGGTCCAATGTGATTTCTGAATACCGGAAGGTTAGTACAAAAAAAAAAAAACTATAAGTTTTTTTTTTTTTTTAACAGCATTCTTGTACTATAATTTTTTTTTTTTAACTAAAGATTATAGAAAGAAAATCAAGGCTCGCAGACTTCCAGCTATATTATGAAATTGATTATTTCTAAATAATAAATTTAACTGATCATTCATTACAGAGGTACTTGCAAAGAATCATCCAGGACGTCTTCGGGCTATCACAATATGTTATGGTAAACAATAAAGTCCTCTCAATTTGCCCTTTTCCGTTTCCCCCATCGTTTTTGTCCTATATTTTTATTCTTATTTGCAAGAAAAAAAGTATTATTGTTTTGTTTTTTGAATTAATTTTATTGTATTATGAGAGTTGAAAAGGCAATATTTTTTGTTTTTTGGTCAAGGCAATCAATTATTTGCAGCTACGAAAAACATTATTTCTGAATCATGGATACAACTTTTAACTTATTCATTCCACTTCTAGCACTCTTCATAGCCTTTCTTCCTTTAATTCCCACGATCTTTTTAGAGTAAGCAATAAACATTCACTCAATTATCCTCTTTTCTTTTCCTTTTGTCTTTTCACCTTCATTTTTGTGTTATGTCTTTATTTCTATTTTTAGAAAATAACATTTATTTATTTATTGGTTTAGCAATAACGTTTATTTTTATTTTTACCTCTTATGAACCAATTAGAGCTACTAGATCAATCTAAAAATATAGATATATCTATATAAAATTTATATAAATAAAACTTTTAATTTAGTAATTAGTTTTTAAAAATATATATTAACTAAAAGGGTAATGTTAGAAGGACCCATTGGTCCCCTAGCTGGTTGTTCCCTATAGTATATTTGTAATACCCCAAAATTTCCTAGAGCATATAAGTGGAGTTAGGGACTTAATAGTGAGAAAACATTATTAGTGGACCTAATTGTCAATTTTTCAAACTTCAAAGGGGTTAAATCCTTATTGGATAAGGACGGCTGACTCACTCTTTTTTTTTCTTTTTCTTCTTTCTTTCTTTCTCCCCCAGCCATTCTCGCGTCTGCTCTGTTTTTTCTCCCTGCTGCAGCCGAAGTCAACCCAGCCATAACCGAAGCCCCATCTGCAAATTTGGTAAGAGAGCTTGATAATTTTTGTTCCTCTCTTGCTTAAGAACAAGTTTAGGGCTTAGAAATCTCCTCCCTTGCAGAAAAGCCGCCGGATCTGCTCTGCTTCTTCCCCCTCTGCCG